ATACACACACACACACACACACACACACACACACACACACGGCACGTCTAAACTACATTCCTCTTCCAAAAGAGGAATATAAACGAGCCTGATCAAAAATGCAAATGAAGCGTGGATTTACAAATCTCCTGCTTCATTTGCATAATCACACGAGTACACTTTCGAAAAAGGATTTTTTGGAAAAAAAGAAACCACAGTCTAGACGGGGTTCTTTCGAAAAAACCCTTTTTCGAAAGAACCTGTACTCCTGAAAAAATGAGTACAGGTTTTCGAAAAAGGGGGTTTTTTTTCCCCTGAAAGAACCCCTTCTAGACTGTGGTTTCTTTTTTGAAAAACCCTTTTTCAAAAGAGCGCTCTTGCACGATTATGAAATGAAGCGCGAGATTTGTAAATCCGCACTTCATTTGCATTTTCTATCAGGCTCATTTACATTCCTGTTTTGGAAGAGGAATGTAGTTTAGACATAGCGAGACAGATTATATGAATCATGAGCTTTTGTGGGCATAACCCACTTCTTCAGATGAGTGGCGCTAAAAAGAAAAAAATCCCCCAAAGCCATAGTAAGGTATTTGTAAAACAGAGTATAAAAAAATTTACCTTCTTGTTAGAATGGGCTCAGGAGACCGAAATGAAAGCATATTGCATGCTAGCGTTTTACATTAACCATGGGAAACTGAAGTCTTTTCGCTCTGTAATTTTTCACCATGCACAATACCGCAGCACAAATGCCACGTTGCACTATTAAATGGGAGATCTGGAGTGTACAACCCACTTTGGCCTCCTAGACTTTCGGCTACCAGAAATCTAGGGGGCAAAGTACAGAAACACACATCAGTGCTTCTAAGCGGCACCAGAAACAGAGAAAACAGTCTCCTTGCAGCTGAAGGATCATTCAGTTTGATATAGTGGAATTACTCTAACGTTTCAAAACCGGTTGTAACTGTTAACTACAAAAACGTCCCTACCGTGGCACAGAAAAGGGCACAGTGAAGCTTAGCAAGCCTGCTCTGTTTTCTCAGTAGAACGCAACACAAGCCCCTACCTGTTTCATGGCTGTCTCACCAATCTTGTCTGAGTGCTTCCGAATACTCTCCAGGAAGTCTTTGAGGTCGGACATGGAAACGTCTTTTATCTCTTCACGCAGTTTAGGGATATTATCCACCATGATCTTGCAGAAGCGGTAGTGGCTCACCTGGGGCAGGTAGGTATGTTCAAGGTGCTCTAATGTCTTCAAAGCAGGATAATGTCTGAGAAGAGCATAAATCAGATTCAGAATTACACGACTATCCCGCTTTTCCCCTTTCCCACAGAGGATGATGGTAATAAATTAACACTTCTATACATCTCAAACCACCGTCTAACAATACACACACTTTAAAGTTCACATACAAGATAGGGAAGAACTATTTTCACATTGGATTATAGGCAAACTGAAGTGTAGCAAGACTAAGATGTGGACATACTTTGAGAAGTGTCTGTAAAAATGGCTCTTTACTCAAGAGAGGTCTGTCTCGTGCGTATGGAGAGGCAGATCCAGCTAATTCTTTTAATATTGCCGAGCACTATTCGATGCTTTTCAGTAACTGCATTTAAATGCCAGATCAAGTAATTCCTATATATCCCTTACTGACCTCCCTGGGATGCTGCAAGACATCATGTTTGATATGCACTTGGAAATTCTCGTCCAGTAGGTGCTGTTGGAATGCAAACTGTTGTTCACATGTAGCATCTTCATTTATTTATTCTACGATGGTGCCCAGAAGCCCCGTGAGAATCCAGACTAGGTGACGCTCAGGATACAACAGCCATCACTGGCTGTCATACATTTGCTCTGATGCTGTCTCTTCCATTCCTTTGTACTTCATATTTTATCACAGAATTCTAGGGCTGGTAGAGACCTCCGGAGTCACCAAGTGCAGCCCCCTGCCCAAAGCAGGACCAACCCCAATTCAATCATCCCAGCCAGGGCTTGGTCAAGCCGAGACTTCAAAACCTCTAGGGATGGAGATTTCACCCCCGCCCTAAGGAACCTAGCCCAGTACTTCACCACCCTGCTAAGGAAATCATTTGTCCTACTTTCCAACTTAGACCTCCCCCACTGCCACTTGCTCCTTTTTCTGCCATCTGTCACCACTGAGAACAGCCTCTCTCCATCCTCTTTGGAACCTCCCTTCAAGAAGTTAAAGGCTGCTATCAAATCCCCCCTCACTCTTCTCATCTGCAGACTAAATAAGCCCAAATCTCTCAGGCTCTCCACATATGTCATGTGCTCCAGCCCCCTAATCATGTTGGTTGCCCTTCTCTGGATCCTCTCCAATGCATCCACATCCTTTCTGTAGTACGGGAAGGGGAGGGCCCAGAACTGGACACAATACTCCAGATGTGGCCTTCACGGTGCCAAATAAAGAGGAATAATTAGTTCTCTGGATCTGCTGGAAATGCTCCTCCTAATGCACACTAACGTGCCATTAGCCTTCTTGGCTAAAAGGGCACATTGTTGACTCATCTCAAGCTTCTATAATCCCTAGATTCTTTTCTGCCGAACTACTACTTAGCCAGTCGGTTCCCAACCTATAACAGTGCCTGGGATTCTTCCGTCCCAATTGCAAAACTTTGCACTTATCCTTGATGAACCTCGCCAGATTTCTTTTGGCCCAATCCTCCAATTTGCCTAGGTCACTCTGGACCCTAAACCTGCCCTCCACATATCTACCTCTCCCCCTAGCTTAGCATCATCCGCAAACTTGCTGAGGGTGCAATCCATCCCCTCATCCAGGTCATTAATAAAGATGTTAAACAACATCAGCGCTAGAACTGATCCTTAGGTCACCCCACTTGATGCTGACGACCAACCAAGCATCAAGCCACTGAGCACTACCCGTTGAATTGGAGTCTAGCCAGCTTTCTATCCACCTTACAGTCCATTTATCCAATCCATGCTTCCTTTACTTGCTGGCAAGAATATTGCGGGAAACCGTATCAACAACTTTGCTAAAGTCAAGGTATATCACATCCACCGTTTTCCTCATGTCTACAGAGCCAGTCACCTCATCATAGAAAGCAATTAGGTTGGTCAGGCATGACCTGCCCTTGGTGAATCCATGTTGAATCTTCCCGATCACTTCCCCTCTTCCAAGTGCTTCAAAATGGATTCCTTTAGTATCCCCTCCATGATTTTTCTGGGGAATGAGGTGCGACTGAGTAGTGTCACCTGGATTGTTGTTCTTCCCTTTTTAAAAGATGGGCACTATATTTGCCTTTTTCCGATCGTCCGGGACCCTTCCCAATCTTCAACGAGTTTTCAATGATAATGGCCAAAGGCTCTGCAATGACATCTACCAACTCCCTCAGCACCCTTGGATGCATTAAATCTGGGCCCATGTATTTGTATAGGTCTAATTTTTCTAAATACTCCTTTGTCCACCAAGGGCTGTCCACCACCTTCCCATACTGTGCTGCCTAGTGCAGTAGTCTGGGAGCTGACCTTGTCTTGATCATGGAAACGTGATCTTTCTTCAAAATGACTTAACTATGCCAATTTTGCAAACAGACTGGATGAAGAGTAAACCATGAGAACATTGGTCCACCTAGCCTAGTTTCCTGTCTTCCTACAGTGGGAGATGCCAGACGCTTCAGAGGGAATGAACAGAGCATGGCAATTTATCGAGCAATCCATCCCATCACAGCATGGAAATCTTAACAATGGAGCTATTGGCAATACTTCTGGACATTTATTTTGACCACCACTATTGTGCCTCTTGGGTGAAATAAGGCAATCGTAACAGGACACAGTTTTGGAGAGGTAATACAGAATACCACCTCCAAATGGAAGACGGGGAGGTTAGAACTTAAGTAGGAACACAGTAGAGATTAAATTTGGCCAGGAGACTGGGAATAAAAACCCTCAGTTCATGCAAAAAACGTGCTTATGCATAAGATATGCACTACCATCTCACTTAAAAAAAAAAATACACTAGAATCCCTTTTCAAAACATTTCCTGTGAAATCGTTCCGCAAGCCAGAGCAAATTCTTTTAACTAAAAATTGTAAAGGCTACTAAGGGCAGAAGTCACATTGTTTAATCTTGTAATGTGGGGCACTATTTACATTACAGAGGGGGTAAAAAAAGCTATTTGCAATAAAATGTAATCCCCTCTGGAGAGAGAAATTTAAGAGTGGATGGAAAGCCAGAACTTAAACTGAAGGAATAAACACACAGTGGAGTTTTGTTATATTTTAGGATATTGTTTATTGAAGCAGAAGAAGCTAAAATGTGTCCAGCAGAGACCGTGTGTGTTCATTGATGAGGTCCATGACTGCCTGCCGAACACAAAGTCTAAAACATCTGGGGCAGGGAGTAAGTGCAGAGGCCAGCGATTCTTATTAATGAAGTAATGCAGCGCTAGCCTCACAGTCCCTGGTGTGTTCTTCGCACAAGCAAGGCTTCCAACTGTGTTCTGTTCTCTCGGACAAGAACAGCGGCGCCTCAGCCCACTACAGAGAGCGGATATTTGTATATGTAACAACATCTTACATTATGTCATCGTTCACCCCAAACGATCCTAAAGCGGTTAAGGACGCACACAGAGGGATTGTTTCACCCATTAAACACAAACACTTCTGGGGTAAAAAAGGGGCAGCTGGGTACACAGATGGGCAAGGAGGAATATCTGATCAAAAATATCTGGGGCCTCATCACCCTTGTCCTGATGATCTTTAATGTGTGCGCACGCACGCAGGATCGCATACCTTGCCATCTTGCCTGACTTTAATGAGACTTTATGGCAAAAAAAGCAAGGCAAGTACTTAAAAAAAAAAAAAAAAAAAAAAAGAGGATGATGAATCCCTCAGCTTTCAGCCAGTGCTGGAAAGATCCCGTCAAGGTAAATCTGCACACGGTTTTGGGACTTTGTTTACAATGTATTTGTCAGCTGTGTTCACTCCCGGTGCAGCGATAGATGAAGCTATCAAGCAATAACTTCACCACCTCGCCTTCTTCCATGGTCAGGCAGTTTTTCCTCATCACTTTTTGAGTAAAGAGTCCTGATCATCTGAGGAAATCTCTCTCATGTCCTTGGATTTTGAACACTGGGGAAGGAAGTGCTTGTCTCTCAATTTATCCTATGGCTGCACAGTCGAAACTTTCTGGGTTTGCACTGTACTTTGCTCTTTGTTTCCAGCACATCACACGTAGTGAACAGAGACTGGGTATTCAAACCAGAAGCTTAAACTACGCACCCATCCTCTATGGGCTACCAAGGAACAATGCATGAGGAGTCAGATATAAAAAGGGCTTAATTTGTTTTGCTGGTTTGGTAAATGGTGATATCAAATCCAGTCAAAAACTTAAGTGTTCAGATTTCATTTAAATATGGCCCTCAATACTAATTTCTATGCAAGTTAAAATGAATCCATCAAAAGAAAGTACCGTATATTCCGGCGTACAAGACGACCTCTGATGTTAAAAAACATCCCCCAAAAATCGGGGGTCGTCTTGTACGCCGGATGCCCCGCCGCCGGCTTCCCCCGAGGCTTTCAAAGCCGCGGAGGGGCTCCGGCGGCGGGGCATCCCAGGCGCGCATGGGCTGCCCCCCCGCCGGAGCCCCTCCGCGGCTTTGAAAGCCTCGGGGGAAGCCGGCGGCGGGGCATCCCAGGCGCGCATGGGCTGCCCCCCCGCCGGAGCCCCTCCGCGGCTTTGAAAGCCTCGGGGGAAGCCGGCGGCGGGGCATCCCAGGCGCGCATGGGCTGCCCCCCCGCCGGAGCCCCTCCGCGGCTTTGAAAGCCTCGGGGGAAGCCGGCGGCGGGGCATCCCAGGCGCGCATGGGCTGCCCCCCCGCCGGAGCCCCTCCGCGGCTTTGAAAGCCTCGGGGGAAGCCGGCGGCGGGGCATCCCAGGCGCGCATGGGCTGCCCCCCCGCCGGAGCCCCTCCGCGGCTTTGAAAGCCTCGGGGGAAGCCGGCGGCGGGGCATCCCAGGCGCGCATGGGCTGCCCCCCCGCCGGAGCCCCTCCGCGGCTTTGAAAGCCTCGGGGGAAGGCGGCGGGGGGGGGGGGGGCAGCCCAGGCGCTCCTGGCGGCTTTGCTCCCGGTGCCTCTGGTCTGCTGGGGACCATCTCCAGCAGACCAGGGACACCGGGAGCAAAGGAGGTGGAGGGGCGCTGGGGTATAAGATGAAACCCTATCTTTTAATTAAAAAGATAGGGGGTCGTCTTATACACCCAGTCGCCCTATACGCCGGAAAATACGGTAGTGATTTTCAGAATGAGCTTAATCACATGGCATATGAATTCCTTTTAGTTCATACCACCAAACCAATCCAGCTTCCCCTCATAACACGCACACCACCATTCACTACAAATTCCAGCTACAACTAGTCTATTTTAATGAATCTCTCATCAGTCCACAGCTAAGCCCCTCATCGACGCTATAAACACAGTAAAAAATGGACAAACTAGTAGGCTCTTTTATACCACATTCAGACATACTAATGGAGGAAACTCCTTTCTGAACAGCTGAATAATGCTCTAACCTCCCCTCTAGTTTGATTTTCAAGTGTGAGACGTATCAATATACCTAAGGTTTTGGGTGATCTAGGAGCACAAGGTCTGGCAGTATTTGTTGGGTAAAAAAGGGGGGGGGGGTGGAGAGACATTTCACGTCTGGTTAGCCAGTTCTGCTTTGGAGCGTAGTTCAAATGTTTTTTGTGGGACTCAATGGTGAACCTAGGGCTGGGGGGGACTGGGACGAGGCGATTAAATTAAAATGTATACATAAAAATGTGCTTTACTATGAACCTATTTACTAGAAAAGCTTGGTAAATAAAAGAAACCCTATGTTGTTACAACTGCTGTTCTAATCTGCACCTGCATTTGGATTAGGCTGAAAAGAAGATGACAAAAATGTGTTGGGAGAGCTACTAATGAAATATTAGATAGTTTCAAAGCCGAGCAAGCTGCAATACA